ATACCTATCAAAAAATAAGTTTCGATAAATAATTTGATCAATAGTTTCAACGGTTCTGCTATGAAATCAACCATTGGCTCCATAATGGAGCCAACCTTCTATATACAACAAGTAAACCATACCATATTAATAAAATTATTAGTGTGATTTAATTAATCAGAGAATATGGTATGGTTTACTTGTTGTATATAGAAGGTTGTCTACACTATAGTGCCAACGGTTGGCTTCATAGCAAAACAGATAGTTTCAATTAATAGTAAGGATATATACCAATTATTCAAAACACATACCTTTTAATCTTTGGATTGGGTAGCACTTAAGAATAACATCGATCAAAAAATGATATGTGCAGATAAATTAACAAAAGTTAATAAATAAATAAATAAACCATTAAGTCAATAACTCATACTTTTCTTAATTATTATTTCGAAAAAATATCGTGAAATGAAAATATTATGGGTGAGAGAGTTCATGTCACTTATTGTTTTCAAAGTTTTCAAATTCACTTTTATTTACACAAAATAAAATTCGTATCATTCAAATTTCGACTATTCATACCAAATCAAAATGCACACTTTATATCATAAATTCACACATAATAATAACACATTTCCTACCAAAAATATAAAAATGACCATTAGATAACTCAAATAAAAGCGAACACTTTAATATCCAAAAATTTCAAAAAAGATTACTAATTGTATTACAACTACATATCGACTTCTTTAAAGAACATGCAATAAAGATTAACATCCCAAACATGGCGATTTTTTTATAAGAAAAACGGACTTTCTATAAATTTATGAAGTTGCCCAATTATGTGCACTCCCCAAGCCTATAATTTATAAGCAAATCAGGCCCAATCAAACATACACTAAGAAAATTGGCGAAATTTTCTTAATACCACAAGAAAATATATATTTTGCAGATATACGAGATCATATATTTTATTGGCATGGTTACAATTTGAAGTGCATTTATTTTGTGGTGAATTCAAAACGGCCGAATTGAAAGGAATCCCACCTTCCTACAATTACGCAGAGCAGTAAAATCAGTTGGGAAAATAAAAGGAAAGTGGACAAGTATGTACAGCTCATACACGATCACAACATCACGCCTTCAAAACATGTAAGCACGAACCCGAACATATACATAATATAGACGGTCAGTAGTGACACTCTATCAGGTACAAGTATGTAGGGTTTTTTTTAGAATATATGTAAATTTTTGGTATTTAATATGTATATTGTTTGTATATTTTCTTGCGATGATGTGATCATTATGTTTTGTATTTTGATCTTGGTTTATGTAAATGACACAGATGGATACGTCGAGTATGATCTTCTTCAATTACAGTGGGGATTGGATTAATAATGAGTATGTTAACTTTCAACCGTCTGGTGTCGTGGTTCGAAAAGATTGCAGCTACAGGGAGCTTTGTGATGCATTGAGAGAAAAAGTCAAGATAGTGTCTGATTTATCTACTCTTGAATTGAAATATATCTTAAAGGATGGTTATCCACCAATGTGTCTTGATGATGACAACAACCTAGATTTCTATATACGATTTAAATCGAATGAACCTGAATACATCAAGTTTCTGATTTGCGTGGTGGTGAAGTCTCAGATGAATGGGCATAACTCGCCCCTGGTATCTCCAACTGTCTGTGATGTGGGTTACGAAACAAATGTGGCTCCTTTGAGGCATACAGAACTCGATAACTATGTATATACGAGAGACGTGCCATTGAACTTCATGGATTTCGCTCAACCTGTGGCTCAAGAGATGGTTGATACGATAAAATATACAGAAAATACCCAGAACATATACATAGACATCGAAGTGATTGTATCGAATGAGGTAAATGTGGAATCTAATATCGTTGTTGGTATGTTATTCAAAGATAAACCTATGTTGCAGAGAATACTGACGATGCACGCTATACATAATCTATATCAATTCAAAGTCGTGAAATCGTGCAGCAAACAATATTACGTGAAGTGTTTGTCTGATGAGTGCACATGGTTTATGAAGGCGTCCCGTGTTTGTCAATATAGTACATTTAAGATAAAAGAGGTCGGGACTGATCATCATTGCGCATTGGATATGCGTATGGGTGGACAGCGTCAGGCAACTTCTACCGTTGTTAGTAGTTTTATAAGACAAAGTTCACTAATAACAAGACCACATATAATCCCGGAGATATCGTGGATGATATGCAGAATCATTTTAGGATAAACTTTTCATATCACAAAGCGTGGCGATCGAAGCGAAATGTTGTTGAGGAGGTACGTGGAAAGCCAAATGAATCATATGAATACATACAACATTACCTCGAGAGGATACGTGTTTCTAACCCAGGAAGCACCGTGGGCTTGTGCACGACAGTAAAAAAAAAAATTTATGTACGTGTTAATGTCCCTGAATGTATCAAAGAAAGGGTGGAGTCATTGTCGACCTATTATTGTTGTCGACGGGACATTTCTAACATCCGCGTATGGAGGGGTTTTGCTAACAGCATGTTGCCAAGATGCGAGTTCTCACATATTACTGCTTGCGTTTTGTGTTGTTGACTCGGAGAACAATAAATCCTATACTTGGTTTTTTAACAAACTGAAGTCAGTTGTTGGTGAGAGGGAAGGAATATGCATTATTTCGGACGACCACGAAAGCATAAAACATGTTGTGTCTACAGTAAGTTTTCATAATCTGGTATGTATTATACTTTTTGTATATGTTATCTATATGTTATGTATATGTGTTGTATATGTGCTGTACAGAATATGTCCTGTGATAATGAAACTGTATATACTCAGTTAATGTGCTTGTGTATGCTCTGCATATGTTATGTATATTTTTTGGATATAATCTGTATACATGTTTTTGTAAAATCTGTATATATTATGTACATTTGGTGTATATTATTTGCATATGTTCTGTATTTATAGGGATCCGTATATAGTCTGTATGTTCTTTGTATATGTTATGTACTTATTTGGAGTTGTTGTATATTAAATATGCAGGTATTCCCTAGCGCAACACATTGTCTATGTACATATCACATATCGAATAATTTGAAGATGCATTTTCGGACAGAAGCTCAGTTGGTAAAGGACGCTTTTCATGCAGCGGCAAGAGCATATACAGTCGAGGAGTTTGATAGATATATGTCAGAGATAAGGAAGTTAGATCCTAGTATGGTAACATTTTTGGTAAAACTTGGCGTACACAAGTGGGCAAGAGATCATTGTCGGAGTAACAGGTAATTCACCATGACATCTAACGCTGCCGAAACAATTAATTCTATGATAAGGTCAGTGCAATGCGGGAGTTTCCGATTACAATATTGTTAGAGGCCCTTAGAGACATGCAACAACATTGGAGTGCAGCGAATAGGGATGAAGCGAAGTCCACATTCACTGCGCTTGCCAAGAAACCTCATAATATGCTGAAAAATAACTACAAGATAGCCACAAGATTCTATGAAAGTTTGAATCATTTAAAAAATAAGTATACAAAATAAATATACAGTATATACTCGTATTATGTAGCTTCCTCATGAAATGTTTTGTATTATTAATATATATATATATATATATATATATATATATACATGTACAAAAAGTTAGTTATGTTGTGTCCAAGGTATTGGCCGATGGGACAACATTTATAGTGGATATAGACTCCAAGACATGCTCATGTCATCGATTTCACATGGATGAGCTCCCATGTGCCCATGCTATTCGTGTGATAAAATCCTTGCATCGGGATCCCGTTCAATTTTGTTCTGTTCACTACTTAACAACGATTATGTTAAGAACATGTGATGATACGGTGATGCCAATAGCAGGTAACCAGACTTTTATGTTCGAAGCACTCTCTGTGCAACGACATCTAAATCCACCTGATGGCAATGCCAAGCCAGGTCATCCGAGGAAGCAACGACTGAAGTCGGGATGGGAGCATAGGTCCAAAAATAGGTGACGTAAATGTAACGAGAAAAGGGCACAATGTTAAAACGTGTCGGAATCCAATAAAGGGATAAATTATGTTAATGTTGCTGTAACTTTTTTTATAATTTATTTTTTTCTCAAGTAACTCAAACCGTAAAAAAAGTTGAAATTTTTTGTATGTGTTCCATATTATATTTAGATCATGAACATCTCCATACAGCTCGTTCTGTATTAGAATTTTTAGTGTTCTTTTTTTCTTACATACTGTACAAATGACTTGTTTATAAATATTATTTGTACAGGGATGAAAAAATGAAACAATTTTCAAGCAGTGTTAAAATGACATCAGAAAACTTTGGATAACATAACATCAAAATAATTCGACAAAAAGTCGATTAAGATTCAGTGAATACTAGGAAAAAAAATGAAATGAATTCAAACGCTACCATTTCTCAACACAAAAACAAATCAACAATAATTTTCATAAATCTTCAAAGGAGTTCGAAACGGACATCATCAGGTATTGTACCAGGAGATTCATCATCACTCTCCAAATCCTTTTCTATCTTCAATTGGGCATGCTTATATAGGAAATATCTGAATCTATGCCTCTCCATGTTGGCATCTATCTTTTTCCACGTAATATCAATGGCTGCTATGAAATGCTCGGCAAACGATGCAACAAAGATACCGCAGTCACTGCATAAACAAATAAAAAATTAAGGGCATGACATAAAGAAAATTAATATATAAATATATATGTCATAGAACATACACAAAATATATACATAACATATACACACATCTTAATTGGGTTGATGAAAATACCTGTTCTGTTGCTGTGGCAGATCGAGAACAATTGTTATCTTCAGAGGTGAATTCACGTCAAAATTTACATGCCCATCCGCGTCGGTGTTACAAACAGGCCTCTTCTCGAAAAAGTGAATCATACGTAAGAAAATAGGAATAATCACGACATAAGCTTGAACACTATCTAGAACGATCTTGTCAATGCCATCAGACTTGATGGAATTATAAACCCACAACGTCATGTCGGCCAAAGACAGTCTCCCCAAAATCCAATGTCCAATTCCATTAATATCAACATGCATCGGGAAAAGGACGTGGTCGACATCAAACCACGAAACTCCACATATAATCCTGTGGCCGAAAATGTAGTCAATAATCATATCCTCGACAGAGCATACAACCTGGCCGGGCAATTTTCCCAAAAACGATGTATATAGTGCCTTAATGTGCTGGTCGAATAGCACATCCATTGTTGTGTACCTTAATTGGGTCGTCGTCCCGTACAACCCGCTATTGCGCAGATAGTAGAACAAAACATCCATGTGCTGCAATTTATTTCTCATAAACATGCATTAGTGAAAAAAAAAGAGAAATATGAAATATTTTATGTCATTAACAATAAAGACATTTTATGTCATTAACAATAAAGACATTAAAAATAAGAGAAATATTTTATGTCATTAACAATAAAGACATTGGTGAACATTAAAACACTCACGCTACTATCAAGGAATTTTCCCGGCTCATGTATAGTGTAAAACTAGCTCTTATCCGTCACAACAGTAACATTGAAATCAAACGGGGGTTTCAACTTCCTGTTCTTCACGTCGTAGTAAATGTAACTGCGCAAAATTATAACACATATTATGAATTTTCAATCATGATCAAACTAAAAAAAAAAAGAATCTGGCATGTGAGATAACGACTAATAAAATAAAACAATCAAAGGTATATATTAATAAAATGTGGTGTATGATGTATGTGTATGTTAAGAATATGTATATACAAATTGAACACAGAACGATTAAAAAAGGATTAATAACTACTTTTATACACTAACCCATCTCCAACTTTTTGGGGTCGTTTGAGAATGCCCGTGTCAATCCAAATATTGTAAACCATTGTGTCCGGATCAATGGTAGATATTCTCTAGAAATCAACATCGAACGAACATGACTTTTGGAGAAAATTTTTCATTATCGGTCGAGGGTCTGTTTTATTCTTTACTCTCGAAATAATAGAATACATAGGTTTTTTCCCTGTATCTCATAAGTCAACAATTGCGTTGCTGGCCGGTTCAACATTTGTCCTACGCTTTCCACCCTCAACTTCTCTTTTTCTTTGCTCCGCACCAACTTCAGACTGAAAAAATATGTATTGAAAAAGAACAATAAAAGTGTATTGCATTATATAAATGTGCAGACATATATTTGAAATAAAAGTATATACCTATGTATTTTTGAAAAAAATGTATTACAGATTTGTGCGGTGGGGGACGGGCGACATATTCTGGTGGTGTAGGTGGTAGGTCGTGTGTGATCGCACTGAACGAAGGTTGAGATCCATCGAGTGAAAACCCCCATTTTGGATGTGGTTCTTTTTTCGGGCCTCTTGAAGTTGATGCACTTGCCTAAAAACATAGAAATGGACATAGTCATTCGCTGTGGTATGAAAATATACAAAACATATACATGATATTTACATGTAATATAGTAAACTAACATAATTTACAAATGAAATATATGAAATTAAGTTTGTGTGTTACCAGATTCTTTTCTCTTAAGGCACTTTTTATTTTTTCCTCTGCAGATCTGTCAACCTCAGCTAGAAATGGAGTGTTGATTGTTGTAAATAGATCATCATCATCTGTCGGGATGCTAACAACGTGATCCCCGCTTACTCCAATAGGCTTAGTAAAGAAAACACATTGCAAATTGTTGTATAATTTCAAAAAATTTATACACAATGAAAAAATAAAATGCAAAGTACTTTATCTGCTGCACGTTTCTGAAGAGCTTCTGATTTTGTTCGGAAAGCAGTAACAACAGTCTCCTGAACAAAATTAAAAGGATAGACAAAATTGAAAACATAAATATAATAGTATACACATCCTTATGATTTTTGGATTGTCGTAACCTCAGAGGTTGGCCGCATAATCCGAGATATCGTGATATTAAATAAGAAATATTAATAAATTACCGAGACCTTTCTCGTCGATGAATGAACGTTCTTCTTGAGATTATCTATTTGCAGTCCGCATGGATGAGTAGCATCTTCAATATTTTTTCCATAATTACTTGCAGGCTACATATTAAAAAAAAAAAGACCAAAAGCATATATACTCCTTGATGACTCAGTGCATATAGACAATATTTATCAAACATATAACTTGTATATATAACATGGATGAATTTTGTTAATACATACGGTATACAAAATGATTGTAAATTTATGAGACAATGAAAAAAAAATGCAAAAGTACTTTGTCTTCTGCACGTTTCTGGAGAGCTTCTGATTTCCTTCTGATAACATTAACAAGAGTCTCATGGCCAGACTTGAAAAAAAAAACAGAAACTTGATTATCTGTATGCAATCTTGATTAAACTAATAGGAAAATTAAATATCAGTGATATTACATAAAAACATTAAGAAATTACCGATTCCTTTATCGGCGATGTATGCACGTTCTTATTGAGATTACCTGGTTCCAATTTAAAGGCATCAGTGGTAGCTTCAGTGTTTTTTCCATCACTTCTTCCAGCAAGCAACATATGAAAAAAGATGAAAAGCATATAACTCGTGCATGTAGATAATATATATCATGTATATATAATGTGTATGTTCGGAGATATAACATGTATATATAATGTGTTATATATGACTAATATAACATTATATATAACATATATATATAATGTGTATATAATGTGCATATAACATGTATGCAAAATATGTATATAACAAGTATATATAACATGTATATATGTCTAATATAACATTTATATTAACTAAGTCCTGTGGTAATAGAGAGGGATAACCTCAGCCTAAAACCAAATTAAGGAACACAGATTAAATTAATAAAAAATATTATAATATTAAAAAGTGAACTTGTAATTGTGGGTAAATCCGAAAGTTTCAGCATATAATAATAACAGTTAGATGAATTTAATTTTTTTTTTCTTCAGTACAGATTATTAAAAAATTAGATAGTAACACACCTGTCAGTAAATGATAAATGTCAAGAAATCTTATTCGCCACTTACAACCAAGATTATTGATAGAATATATATGTATAGATATATATAAAAGATTCTTACTAGTTAAAAATTTAAAACGGATTAAACTTACAATGAATGTATTCTTGAATAGCTCAAGATCAGCCAAAACGCTCCTTGAAAAGTCAAAGAACAACTGTTTCAGGTTCTCAACACAGATGAGTTTGAATTTAGACGATCCATGATTTTCGAGTTATTGGTGGACTGCGACGTAGATGTCGTGTGTGTCTCGTTCCGATTGAACTCATTTTTCTTTTGGAAAAAACTGTCCAACAACAGTGATTGCTTCTCTTCCAAGGTAGGTGTTATGTTCTTAAACTGTATGGAACAAATTAACATAAGTTCAAAGAGAATGAATCAACAGATTTATGTATATATCATAAATTTATATTCAACCCTTAAAGTCGTGTTTGGAAAAAAGAATACCTTGTTGGAGTCCAAATTTGAAAATGCCCTCTGTATATAAAGACAGTTGTAAGTATCCCGGACTTCCCACTTCAGCATTCTAGGGATTTCGTTAGCTCCAAGAGATGTGCATACTACGCCCTCGGCTGTGGCGCATATTTCATAAAACCAAATTTGAAGAGCTAATATAAACCCATAGCATCTATACATGTAACCAGCTCCATCGCTCTTCCCTCTGTTGTGCATTTTCTCTATATTTCTCATTAACATTCTCAGATAATGAAAAGTAAATTCAAAGACGTCGGTCCCCCAAGCACAATCGTCAAAATCAGCGCTATCGATGATGTCCAGATAGCACCTGTCAAATCGGTGCGAGTCCTGCGAACCCATCAGGAAGTTTGCAAGTAGATGTAACTTTTCAAACTTAACGGCAACTTCATTGGATTTCCATGATTTCTTTAAAAATTGGACTCTTATGCAACTACAGGTAAGTAGAACCCCGAAAAAGTAATTGTCATATTGTAACGCCCCGTTATTTTAATAGAAAAATAACGAATATTTTCCAAAAATCAGAGTTAAATTTTCGCAAGTCAGTTTAAAAATTTATTTAACGAGCGCCACCCAAACCATCACATACAACAGTTAAATCAACACTTAAGCAGCAGGGATCACAACCATCCCGATAATATCTCATGCCGACATTTACCATATACCAAATGAAACCCCAACACAAGAATATTCAAAACCCAATTCAAACATGTATAATAATCCAAATACATGGTTCGGTTTTCAAAATAATAATTCTAACATGGTTCAATTTCCAACATTAATAATAAATAAGTCTGGCAACGAGATAGATAA